ATCATGGTCATGTTGCAACATCCGTCTCTTTTAACATATTGTTTACTTGAGATGTGCACAGCCATGTGCGAAATAAAAAATATATATAAATGAATGAATGAAATTTTGGGTTCTAGACATGATTTGAAGTACAGATAAGAAATAAATCACTTTTACACAGCTGTGGGGATTAAACCCTCTGCTAGCTATATGGAGAGACAGGGTGTTAGTGTTTACAGTCCAGGGGAAGAGGGATCCAGACGCTAAGCCACCTGGGTGGAGAAGAGTGGGGCAATGATGATGCAATGACAACCACCTCCAGGCTTCTGCAGCTGCTGGGCAGACTAGCAGAGGAGTTGCACCTGAGAAAGCAAAATGCATGCATGAAGCCGATAAATGCTCTGCGATGTTTTACATCAGAAAATAACAATATAACAAGGTCAAAAGCTCCCAAAAGTGGATTTTGCAAGAAATTGTACCATTAAAAAGTAATTATTCAACTTCCCTGTAATTTCTTTATAAATTTTTAATTGTTTTTCATCTTTAGAAATGAATAACAATTTTTTGCATTCATTGCGTTTCACTCCATAACCTTCTCTCTGATTTTCCTGGGGTTTTGCGTATACACAAACCTGCAGACACATTCTTGTGATAGCTGTTAGGGGTATTATACATTTTCTTACTTTGCCATTGTTCTGTGGTTAATTAATTTTTTACATATTAGAATTTTTTTGTTTTTTCAAGCTCCGTCCAACCTCTTTCTTTACCACGGCTCACTTTTCAGATCTATCAGAGAAAAACACTGTCCATAGATTATTCAACAGAGTAGCGAATTACTAAATTATTCAACACTTGCAGCCTTAGAATGAACCCAGTTGTGAAGGTATCAGGTAACTCCAGAATTGAAGACCAGCTCATCGTTTCCTGTAAATAGTTTTACATTTGGTAGTCAGGATGTGCAGTGTTTTATCAGCCCTACAGTCCTCGATGAACTCCACATAAACTCTGGAGTATTTCCACATCTGCACTGATCTGTACGTGTATAAATCTGAATTGTCCGTTTAAATTTAGAGTTGATTTTTCTAATCATGATGTAAAAAGACTTTTATCATCACTTGGCTTGTTGGAAACAAACAAATACATTTATTTTAGTAACGAGATATGAGGTATTGTGTATGCCAACGTCGCTGAAAATATTCCTGGACTTTTCTAAACGTCATCTTAAAGTAATTAAAAGCTGTTGTTTGGTGAGATTATTGATTGGTGCTGCATCAGCAGGATGCCATTTTGTGATTATTTGCTTAAGCAAAAACAGGATCTGAAATTGTTATTGTCGATGCTAATTTTGTGATTTATAAGGAGAAACTGGATGGGAAATTTGGGAACGATACACAACCCTGACCCTGGCGTGAGCACATTTTGGACATGGAAAACCTGGCAGCAAAGATTATTGATTTCAGCTCCATTTTTGGAGTTGTAGACCTTCATGCAAACAATCACATGCACACACACATACACACACACACACACACACACGTGCACACACACACACGCACACATACATGCACCCATGCACGTGCACACACATGCACACACACATGTGCGTGCACACACACCCACGTGCACACACACACAACCAGATCAAATGAAATCCTAAATGAGCTGACAGAGAGGCTGGTGGGTGTCCAGAGGACTTGTGTGACCTGTCACCCACCAACTGTATAATCAGAAAACCGCCCTGCTTCTTTTCCTTTAGATCTAGTTATGGACCTGGTGAGGTGGGAGGAATTATTTCACTGTAGTCAAGTGCTGCAGTCAACCAATTAGTGACGAAATTAAAAAAAAAAGACTCCTATTTTCTTAGGATTTCATTTCCTGGAGCAGTAACTCTCCACAGATGCTAGTGTCACATCCTATCTGGTGGGTCTTCATCTCTGTATGACCTCTTCACAGCTTAATTACAACTTGGGAGAATTTTTCCTGCTCGGAAGCTGCAAAGATAACAAATTGGAGGGCTGCTGAAATGTGTGATTTCTCTGTTTCACTTCCGTTTGGTCCTTATGAAAGGCCAGATTACATTTTATTTATTTTTTACCCCCACCACTTTCTGTAAAATCATGGCACTGTGCCACCAAACCATGTGCCAGCAGGGCATCACCGCTGCCAAGTCTCTTTCATTTATACATAGACACTGTCATTATTCAGGCTGCTGGCTCTTTCAAATGGATCTCCTACTGCTCTGCCAGTCCATTAGCAAGTCGCCAACTGCTAGGCATGTTTACCGTTCATATTAGAGGAAGCTTGTTTTCAGCAGAGCCCGTTTCAGACATGTTTGTTTGCTACTCAACCCCAAAGCATTTGTCAGAAGATGACTCTAAGAGCCCAATAGCCTATCCTGACAGGGATTTTGTTAGGTATGTTTGATTTGGGGCTTTGAACTTATAACACATGTACATTAGAGGATTTTATTCATCAATGGAAATTCAACAGATTACTGAAATACAAAAATCACTACCGGCCTCAGCCCTGAGGCATCATTTCTAAAACTTTACCAAAGCTCTACTGAAGCTCAGCAGAAAACATTTACTTACACAAAGTAAGATTTGGACCAACAACTGACAGCTCTTCCTACAAATGTGCTTGGGTGATTTAGGATCATATCCCCTCCTATACACCCTCTTTTTGCCATATATGGTCAAAGTACTTTATGAATACTCTGTTAGGGTTGGGCATCGAGCATCGATTGGAACCAGTTCCAACTGTTAGTTTTTCCCGGAATCGTTCAAAGTTGTTTTTTTCTATTTCTAGTTTAGATCCCTAGAGATCACACCAGCTGTCTGTGTGCAGCACGTGTTTTTGTCTAAATGAAGGTGATGCTGTTCATAGAGTTAGAATTCATATTGAAGTTAAGATTATTTCATCAAGTAGGACCTGTGGTTAGCTGGCTCATGTAAAACATGGAATGTCTTGAAAGAATCGGGAATCGATAGGAACCGGAATCGAAACAAGGAATCAGAATCGGAATCGTTTGAAATCAAACAATGCCCAACCCTACTCTGCATGTACTTAAGCTGATCTGTAGTCTTTCACTGATAACTGTGGTAATGGAGCGGTCTAGAAATCTAGGTGCTTTTTGAGTGACATACATAGACTGTACATACTGGACAAACGGATTCCATTGGCTTCAATAACACGTTTGTTGTCTATAATGGGAGGTGGCCACCACCGCCATTTTGACCGTGTCACAGGTTCCGTCCAGCCCAGACAATTCCATAAAAGGGAAGAGAGGAGGCGCTGAGGGTGTGGCTGTAAGGCTGGGCTCGAGTGACGACACCCAGGCGAACTAGCTACGAGCTAACCTGAAGCTAACCATAACCCAAAGCTAAAGCGGAGGTGGGAGCCGAGCTAACGGATGTAGCCACCTAGCTTCAACCCAACCGGAGCTAACTGGAACACCCATCGACCTGAACCTTACACGGAGTTTAGGTGGAGGTTTTCTGCGCCTGTTCGTGAGAAGTACCTGTATTAAAAAAGTTTTAAATCGGTAAGTTTATAATTTATTTCCGTAATGAAAACATTTTGCTTTGAGCAAGTTTTCAGTACAGTTTTTTTCGGCGCTATCACTCCTGAGTCGCACCAGCCATTAAATGTATCATGAATAAGAGAAAATATATTTAAGTCGTATTTTGGGGGGACATTTTATTATCTTTCTTACAAAATCTGAGACCAAGCGTTTCACATTGCAACACAAGCACCGGTAACCATAACAGAATGAACAACAGCCAGCAGAGGAGAGGATGGCGGTGTTTCAAACCCTCCCGGCCGGCGAGGAGAGCTCATTCCTGGGCTGGAGCCGGCCCTCAGCACCCCGCCACAGGCTCTAACAGATGCTGGCGGTGTTTGAAACCCTCCCAGCGGGACAGGGGAACTCATTCTTGTGTGGGTCGGAGTCGGCCCGCAGCAGCGCGTGTAGCCTACATATTTTGTTATATAAGTCGCTCCGGAGTATAAGTAGCAGGACCAGCCAGAAAATGTAAAAAAGTGCGAGTTATAGTCCGGAAAATATGGCAGTTATTAGTATTCGAGCTAAATTAGCAGTGTAAATACATTTCATATATTTCCAAAATGTTATACTTGTTTGTATCTTGTACAGCCAACTAGTCTTTATTCTGGACTCAGTACAATTTACCAAAAGTAAAGAGACATTCTACAGATGAAGTAAGCACAAGATAACTTACTGGAAGACACGGAATTATCATCAGAACCAGAACAAGAGAGCCTGATAACAGTCATGTGAAAATAACAGTTAAAAAGTATGTATGTATAATAGAAATAAAATATATTAGAATTAGTGTAACTCACTGTGATCCAAACAATAAATCAGCCATAGCTGATTAGTAAATATGACATGAGGTCTTGGAGTTTTTAATTTTCATTTTTTTCTTAGATCTGTTTAAATGTCACCATGGCAGCCTGTGTGTCCCAACATCAGCTACACAAAGCAGCAAGTGTAAGTTCCACATACCTGTCTCACCACTTCATGTATGGTTTTGTACTTTAAACAATTATGACAAACCTGTTATTTTTTCTCCATAGCCATTTGGATAATTGGAGACAGCTATGTGAGGCGTGGTGCCCAGAGAGCTGCAGATAAACCTTGGCCTCCCTGACGTGTGTCTCCTGGTTCGGTTGGGGTGGACCATCGACATACATACATGTGCCGACACTTTGCGCCCTGTTTTATAAAATGTAGTGTTAAAAATAAATGTTTTTGCTCAATTACTGGAATTTCTTTGGTTAAGACAAAAGTGAGGAATAATCATTTACAAGTTATTTGTACAACAGGCCCATTTTAAATCCCAACAGTTTCTTAGCAGACAATAGAAATGTGTTCTTTACTAACTTTACTTGGTTTAAAAATCTTACTAAAATAGTGCCGTATTGCAAAACCCAATCATACTTGTTATGTAAACATTAGCTTTGTAGATATTTTTTACAGATATATATTTGTGTGCAACAAATCCAAACTTAAATAATTTGTTATTCTTTATTGAAAAACAACAAAATACAGTTATACAGAAGTGTGGGAAAATGATAATGTGAAAGTATTGCTATTTAAATGTAATCCTATTTATCTTTAAAAAGAAAAACTCCAAAAATGTCGTGTACAGCATCATGACAGAAGAATGGTGGTCTGTCTGTCAGAATGTGCTGAACAGATTTGCTCTTTGAAGAGGAGTGTCATGTTTGGAGGAAGGTACTTAACCCAAGACATGCAGAATACAACACTGACCAAAAACTGATGGAAAAAATGATTTATTTATAAGGAGGAACTTAAGGTGCACAGATAAGTCTGTGGTTGGAACTGCAACAACAGCTCAGCGTCTGCAGGAGGGAGAACACAGGTGAGCTTAGGTTCTGGTTTCAAAATCCATTGTAGGCAGGCAGAGGTGTTCAGCAGACTTACTGTGGTGGGTGTATGTGTTGGCTGGAGGAGGGAGAGTTAGAGAGCCGGGGGAAGCGCAGGAGAGGGAGCAGAGGTGGAGATAAGCGGGGCGTCCTGGTGGATGGGGCACTGGGTGAGATGAGAGGTGGGTTATGGAGAGTGGTGATAAGGTCCGTGTGTTGAATATCCAAATCCTGGAGTAGAGGTCAGTATCCAATGAGGTCGACAGGAATCCTGAAGAATGGTAAATCCAATATAAGAGCAAAAACACTACGAAATAACATTAATCCTAGGAACACTAGAGGTAACACGAGTGGCTGGTTACTACCAAAACTGAGGCAATCTTCTGGCGTCAAATTGTGTCATCCATCCACCTTAAATAGGAAAGCACCCCGCTGATCGCTGATCAGGAACGGCTGGGGTGGATTCACCAGAACCATGAAGAACGTGTCTCCAGAGACAACTCGGGTCCTGGTACCGATCAGGAAGCGGACCTTATCACCCAGAGCTGCCAGGTCACGCTCAAAGCCTTCATGTTCACGCTGCAGAGCCTGAACGCTGGCCAGGTCGTGGCCGTAGTTGTCTGTGTTCAGGGCCTGGTTCTTCTCCTCGATCCACTCTTTGGTCTCATCAGCATCTCTGAGAAGACATCAGAACTCCGTCTGAGTGTGGGTCCAAACTCTACTGACCCGTAAGCGGCGCATAAGTGTGCGGGGTACCTGTGGAAGCGCTGCACCTCATGGGCGCTGCCCAGCATGTTGCTCCGGTCTTCAGCCAGCTGTTGCAGCGAGCGCCAGCGGTTGTTCAGCTCCTGGAGAGAAACCAAACCCAGTGAGATGAAGGTGGACGCCAGCGGGCTGGACGCCGGACGAGGAAACCTGGAGACGGATCGCTCAGACAGGAAGGGAAGAGCTTCCTCTTACCTTGATGGAATTAAAGTTAGCCGTCGTCTGAACGCCCAACCGTACGGTCTGAGGTCAAAGGTCACAGGAAACACACACCAGTCAGCAGTCATACAGATGCATAAAGATAACTGTAGCCATGGCAACCAGCTGACACGTCCCCACTTTCACCAGCACCTGGTGCCTGCCGGGTCACCTGAATTCCTGTGTGATTTCAGCACGGTCGGCCGTGACTGCGGCCATCAGAGGTGACCTCTGATCAGCTGAATGAACTCACCTTCTAGGGTGACGCCGTTTACCCCGGGTTTCCACGGGAGCCGTCAGCAGCATGATACTGCAGCAGCACGTCTTGCTCGCGTAAGCTGCTGCTCGGCCCTTCCCACGAGACGCGAAGCAGCAGGGGAGCAGCTGTCACCGACCGAGCACGAAGTCACACGAGTGACTTCGTCAGTAAACACAACAACAAGCAGGAGAAAACTACAACATGGTTTGTGTTTTATGTTCTGTCCATTTTATAATCGCCAATACGGACCTGAAAAACAAAGGAGACCGCTAGCTAGGTGATAACTTCTCACGGGGACGCTCAGTTAGTAACCTTTTTTAAAATTAAAGCAACCGGAAGGCAATACGTTCTTTATTCTGAAAATCTCGGTAGCTTCTCTCAATTTCCGCGTCCGATTTCCTGTCTTTCCTTCCCCAAAAATGTCGAACTTGACCCGTTTCAGAGGCGTCGCGCGTAGAAAATAGAACCGGCGCGTAAGGGCCGCGACATGCTGCTCCTGAGACGCGGCCGACTCGCGCTGCTGACGGCTCCAGTGGAAAAGGTTCTGTTGACCACAGCGGTTCCTATCAGCAGCTATGACGTGCTGCTGCAGTAACGTGCTGCTGACGGCTCCTGTGGAAAGCCGGGGTTAGAGTCGGCTTCATCCTGTAAACAAACAAATGAGTGGTAACAAAAACACCACGTCTGGTTCTGGTGGAGGCGGAGGACAACACGCACCTTTCCAGGAGCAGAACCCAGATGTTCTTGTTGCTACAAACAAGAGACGAGCAGAGTTAACAAACCAGGAAGTGAGAGGGACCAGCTGCTGCAGACAGGTGAGGCTCACCTGAGCCTGAACCATAGGAGCCTCAGCCATCAGACCTTCTGACTCCAGTTCACATGCCACCTTGTTGATGTCCCTCAGGCGGGACTCGTTGGCCTTCAGGTCCTGCAGGACAAAAGCACCTGCTGATTATCACCTGAGCTGATCTGACAGCTGCTGCTGGAAGACGGAGAGGAGGAAAAGTCCGACCTTCTGGAAGTCGTCAAACTTCTTCTGCAAGACCTCGACCTGCTCCAGGTCCGACCCGTCTCTCCATCCTCATTCAGCTAAAGACGCGAGTTCAAGTAAAACAACCTAAAGTCACACAAACACAAAGCAGGTGTGGAGATGTTCGCTCTGAGCTGGAGGTCGTTCCTCGGCTGTGAAGGGCACACGAACCTTGTTGGTGCTGTTGAGCAGCGTGAGGATGTCGCCCTTCTTCATGGTGACCTCTCGAGGACTCTTCTCCTGGTAGTCGTACAGAGCCAGAACCAGCTCCTTCCCGGTCTCATCGTCAGTTGGAGCCACTTGTTGCTGTCGGGTTAACAGGTCTGGTGTTAGAACGTGGTGGATAAGAATGTTCTGACGGGCCGAGGGTTCTGAACCAGCGAAGTGACCTGGACCCAAACAAAGTGAGCCAGAACCTGCAGACACCTCAGAAACATGTCAGGACTAGACCTGCTCTACCTTCCTCCATTATGGTCTCTCCTTTCTGGGTGACAGCCTTGATGCGAGGTTCATGACCTGTGATCTCAGCCTGCAGAGCTTCGTGCTTCTTCAGCAGGTTCTGGACACCAATCAGGTCCTTCCCTGAGGACACATGTTAGAGTTCAGCATTATGCAGTAGACAGACCAGTTTAACCCAGGGGTTTCTTTCTTCTACAATCTGCTCTTTAACTGTATTATTTCCTGCTATTTCAGCTGTTAACTTTATTTTTTCTGTAAGTGTTTTTCTCCCCAGAAGAAGCTACAACGATGTTCTGCTGAGCTGTGGTGACCTCATGGAGGGGGCCATCGTCTAGCACACTGCTGCTAACCACTTAATCATTCTCCCTCTCCTGATAATAACATTTTACTTTCTTTGATGTTGGATGTACTACTACTAGTTTACCCGTTTAATTATAGATTCACTAGGATAAATACAATAAAGTTTATCTCTCGCCAAATAGAATATTTACTAAGAAATCACAATGTAACGTGTGTGTGTGTGTGTGTGTGTGTAAAAGCCATGTGTAGTGTTTATTTATAAAGCATATGTTGTTGGATTTTATCCAGAATCGAAACTTTGAAAATATATAGTTTAATTACAGTTTGATTTATTTGACATCTGTATAATGTTTATTATTTTGTTTTTTCCCCCTAAATACCTAACGTTTTAGTTAACATGAATATTAGTCATTCATCCCAATACATGAAGTTACACATTTTAAATTTTAATAGGGGAAGACTGCAGGAGGGAGCAGTAAAATACAGGGGGTCCCCTGCAAAAACTAACTTTACGAGTCTGATGAAACTTGCTGGTATTCCCGCTGCTTCTTCGGTAAACAGCGCCAACAAAAACAAAGATACTTGGGATCTTGTCGGCGTGGCGGTGGGATTTAAGGGAAACGCTGTATGCCCTATAGACTTCTCAACGAGCTGCAGTATTTCTCCGGTCAGATCTGTCTCCGAGTTCCACGAGCGGTCAGCCCGCAGCAGCGAGGCGCCGCATCGGTCAGCCTGCCCGGCCTGACCGCTGGGGATTACCGGATGAAAGAATGGAGCACAGAAGTGTCCCCCCAAGCGGCGCGCCCCGTCATATTTCAACCCATTTTTATCTTAAATGCACTGTGTTTTACCCTATTACCCATCTAAATATGCCCTATTAATTATTTTACCGTATTTTACATTTAAATTTCATGGTTAAACAGTACATGCTAAACTGATAGTTAGCTAGCTACTTCAGTAAACTCAGCTAGTTTAAAGGCAGCAGTGACATAAAATACAAATATAGATTTTAACTTACCGAAAAAAATGAAGTGGAGACTCCTTGGACGCTCTATTAGTGCAATTAATACCACTGCAAGTCATTTTGTCCAACAATTGCACCAATATTATCCAAAACAGAATTCACAAGCACAGAGACTCAAAATCCCGACACAGTTTCCAGGAGAGACCGAGGCTGTACTGAGGCCTTTCCACGGAGCTAGCTCTGTGGTCACGTGGGTCTGAGGCGGCGGTCACGTGTGTCGGATGCTCATTAATTATACAGAATTTTAGGCTTTCAATACACTTAAACAGAAGAGTGAGAAAAAAAATTCACCCCCCTCAGAGTTGTCATGAGTATAAACTAGATAATTTAGACAAAAAAAACATTTTTTGAACCAGGCTGTAAACATGTTTATTTCTGCTGTGAAAATGGCATTTTTAACATGGGAGTCAATGAGGATTTGCTCGCTTCTGGTACCAGCCCCCAGCGGATGAGGGTGGAACTGCAATTTTTCTTACTTCCGGGTTGGGACCATTTTCTGAGCGGCATTGTGGGGGCTTGGTGACATATAAGTACAGAAAAGCAATTTATTGTGTTAGAGTGAAACAGTCCTAGTCTGGCAAGCCATCATGAATGTATAGTCAGGCCACGACTCGTAGACAGATCTCGGTCGTGGGCCGGGATCTACGGCTGTCTTTAAAACTGTCTCCACGTGATGTGGATAACAAACAATGTGACGTACTCCCTGCTAGACATTATGTCTGGATCCAAACCAAGGAACAATGCCTACCTCACACACACACACACACACACACACACACACACACACACACACACACACACACACACACACGCACACACACACACACACACACACACACACACACACACACACACACACACACATCCAGTGGATCCCAGTCTGACATTTGGGAATCTTACTGGGGGTCAGGGTGGGGGCTGAGGGGTGTTGCTCCTCCGTCTGTAGCAGTCTCTAGAGCTTTGTTCTTCGTGTCAGTGATATCTAATCCTAAATGTGCTCAGTGGATCACAGCTGCTTGAGTCCAGATCAGCCAGCAGCTTATCGTGATCGCTATACTCCATGTTTAAAGAAAAACAAATCTTCTGTTAGATGGGTGCCTGGTTTGCTCATTTATGCATTAAACCACTCCGTCCTAATCAGGCTTTGTTAACGGAAAATGTCACCCTTCATTGACTCTTCCTTTTCATCCTTCCCTCTGTTTTAAATCCAAACTTGAATTAGGATCTTCCAGCTGAAACGGGTGATGTGACCAGATCCAAACACCACTGTGAGCTTCCAACACGACACAGACAGATTGAGGAGTCGGAGAACGGATTCTCCCGGGGTCAGGGATTGGCCCAGCCTCTGGTATTAAAGGTTTAGTGAAGTTTTAGAGACCAGAATGAGACGTCGTCCTGATGAAAGCTAACAGGAGCTGGGCTGATCTGGTTTCCAGATTCACAGTAAGACACATTTCGCTAAAGGTTGTGCTCCACCCATCCACGTTAAAGTGCTAGACTACAGTTCAGCTGCAATTTCAAAATATATTAAAACTCCAGGGAAAATGGCTGGTTGATGTGATTAAGGAGCATGTTTTAATAAAGAATGATGGACATCATGAAGACTGGTTTTCAAATGGCAGTTTGACATATTGATTATTGTATATGTCTTTATGTCTAAGATTAGTTTGATAACTAAACACCCCTAAATACAGCCAGATTATTTTATAAACCCAGACATCACATCCTTTCTAAGACACTTAATTAAACTTTTAATAGCATCTAAGAGCATATTTCATCAGTTTGATTATCAGTTGGTTTTACCTAAATCATCACTTAAAATCATTCATCCTATAATCATTAGTTGTAGAAATATAATAATACATTAATTTTTCTAAACCACATATTTGCCTTTGTGTCAAATTATTGATGAGTGTTGTTTCCCTGGCAACCTTAATTACCTATTTTCATCATCAGTCGAATATTAAAGGTTTGATAATACTGACAATCCATATTATATGGGATATAACATTTAAATAAATACCTTTATATTTTATCGACGGTTTATTAAAAGTAATCACTTACAAAATGTTACACTTGAGAAAAATAAATCAAAACAAAGGGACATATTATGAAAAAAATCTGAGACCACTGTCTTGAGTCGGAAACGGGTAGGATGGATGTCACCAGGTCAGAGACGAGGTTCGGCCCCAAGTGGAGAAGTTTAAGTGTCTCGGCGTCTTGTTCTCGAGTGAGGGTAAGATGGAGCGTTAGATCGATAGGTGGATTGGTGCTGCGTCTGCAGTGGTGCGGGCGTTGTACCGTTCTGTCGTGGTGAAGAGAATGCAGAACCGGAAGGCGAAGCTCTCGATTTACCGGTCGATCTACGTTCCAACCCTCTCCTATGGTCACGAGCTTTGGGTAGTGACCGAAAGAACGAGATCACAGATAAAAGCAGCTGAAAAGAGTTTTCTTTGCAGAGTGTTTGGGCTCTCCCTTACAGTGTTGGGCAAGTTACTTCAAAACTGTAATGCATTATTTATTACTTGTTACCCTCATTTTAAAGTAATTCATTACATTACAATATTACTGATTTTAAACTGAAAGGCATTACACTACTTTTGCATTACTTTAAGTTACTTTCACCAAAACAACTTCAATATGAATCTGAGACGCTCAGTGAGCTCTTGACATATATGTGGAAGGTGATGTGGTGTCTGAGCTAGGATTGCTGTTAAAAACAGTCAGGTATAATAACAGTGCTTTAAAATGATTGTTTATTAAATAAAAGCAACAACAATCTATACTCTCAGCACGCTGCCATCTTATATTAACTGAGCAGGGAGTGAGGTGGTGGGGGCTCCAAGCCTATATTTGCCTTGGTCCCCAAATGCCTTGATACGGCCCTGGATGTGGGACTGACTTCTGGGGTGATCTGATTCTATCACATGTATAAATATTAAATGCTTATATATTATTGCTTTTCACTGGTAAAAATGTGTATTGGGGATAAATCTACCTACTTTTTTCTTTTTTTCTTGATTTTATGTGAATAATTTCCTGCCCTTTCTCTCTCTAACCTTCCTGCATGCTGCATGTTTTCTCCGTCTTCCAGAAAAAAACTGTAAACTAGACTTCCTACTTTCTAACCATCAGCCAAAGGGATCTTCACATGCGCGGCGCTCCAGCAGTAATGAGTTGAAATCACCGGGGCCCAGATTATGAACTCAGCTGAGGCAAAACACGTCAGAAAAGCACAAAATACCAGAGAATATGCGCTGATATGAACAATCGCAAGTGAATTATTTTGTTTTAGTGGAGCGATTTTGTGAATGTTACAGCGGCCGCGTGCAGGACGCAGCTGAGCCGTTACCGCGGCGTCCTCTCTGCCCGCAAAGCTGAGTCCATAAATGACGTAATATATGCAGATACTGGATCTTTCTTTAGGTTTCCCGCAATTTGAATTTTTAAGGAACACATCTTGATTCTGGGTTTAAAAATGCGATGTAATTACCACGTTACTGACAATTGTACCAAGTCAATATTACCATTTTCTTTCCTGTAATGCCTTACATTACCACATTACAGCAAAAAGCAATGCATTACAGTAATTAATTACTTTTGTACTGCATTACTCCCAACACTGCTCCCTTAGAGATAGGGTGAGACGCTCCCTCGTCCGAGAGGGGCTCAGAGTAGACCTGCTGCTCTTCCACATCAAAAGGATCCAGTTGAGGTGACTGGGGCATCTGGTCAGGATTCACAGGGGTGAGGAACCCTGGCCCATCGAGGGCCGCTGTCCAGCATATTTTAGTTTCAACCCTGCATCATCACACCTGATTTCGATCAGCAGGTGATTAACAAGCTTCTGTAGAGCTTGATGAGCGGCTGAACAGGTGAATCAACCACTGAATCAGAAGTGTTGGAGCAAAGACGTGCAGGATACCGGCCCTCGAGTAAGTAAGTAAGTAAAAGTTTATTTATAGAGCGCCTTTCACAGATATAAATCACAAAGCACTGTACAACATGAGTAAGATCAGGGCAAATACCTCTAACCAATAAAAACATCAGAAAAACAATAGCAGTGATAAAATAGAAAATAAAATCATGAGTATAAACAAAGGGAAGGTGTGAACTCGAACAAAGCCATCTTATAGAACATTTAGGGAGGGAAAGCCTGGATGAAAAGGTGAGTTTTTAGATGATTTTTAAAGACCTCTACAGTGTTAGAGAGACGGAGATTTGAAGGTAGACTGTTCCAAAGTCTGGGTGCAATAGTCTGAAAGGCCCTGTCCCCTTTGGTTTTCAGTCTGGTTCGAGGAACAGCCAGGAGGTTTTCACATGTGGATCTAAGGTTCCGAGAGGTGGTGTGTGGGGATAAAAGCTCAGATAGGTAGCTTGGAGCCTGGTTGTTAAGAGCTCTATAGGTCAGGACTAAAACTTTAAACTGTATTCTATATTCTACCTGCATCGCCGGTTCTTGTGCTCGCGTGCAACAGCCGAGCGCGCCAATCAGCCACCCGAGCTTATGGCCCATCCGCGCTCTAAAGTTTGGCTTCACTTCACTAAATGCGTTGGGCTGTTGGGTGATGATCAAACCAGCGACAACGGTCTGAGTATGAGGCATCTTAATCTGCTCCAGCAGCAACTGTTTAAGATAACGTTAGCTTTAGTTTAGTTTTTGTGTACTTAGCTAACGCTGCGTTTGCTTTCTCCTCAGAAATCCCAACGTCCGAGTAGGAAAAATTAACAGTTTGAAAATGAACAGTAAAAGGAATGAAGATACACAGTAAAGCTAGTTTACACAGCAGAGATGTTTGCTTCAGTGTAATTAGCAGTTTATAAAATTACAAGGACCCAATTCAATTCAATTCAATTCAAGTTTATTTATATAGCGCCAAATCACGACAAGAGTCGTCTCAAGGCACTTCACATAATAAACATTCCAATTCAGGACAGTTCATTAGGCCAATCAGAAATAATTTTTCCTATATAAGGAACCCAGCAAATTGCATCAAGTCACTGACCCACCATCACAGTTTGTCCAGAGGAGAAAGGAGAGGAAACGGAGTACATGGAGCTGGTTTAGTTTGTATTAAATACCAAAATACATACAGTTGTATGCATCGAAGTTTGCTTTAGTTTCATTTGTAGTTCATAATCCACGGTCTCCTCATCAGAGTTATTCCAGAGGGCATAGAAGAGGATTAGGAGTACATGGAGCTGGGCTTG